GAATTCTGACTTCTGTAAAAATTGATCCTGTAACAAGTCTATGTTATAAGAGCTGCAGTTGTCCTAAAAATACGTTTGATAAAAACACATCTCTATAATATCTAGACACATTGTAAAATGTCTGGAAAAAGCCACAGCTCAAAAATTTATCATAGCAATATTTAATTGAGGTTCATATTGTTAAGTATTAATACTTGGCACTTGTGTATGATGTGTACATTTCTGTACATATCTTCAAAATTCTGTGAACATAAGTGTAAAATACAGATTTTTTCTAATCTAGTATGACATGATTCATGGTGTGGAGGCATAAGAACAGAAAAAAGTTTCCGAAAATAGATGTTTCTAGATTACCTTGTAAATTCCTTTTTACTAATACATCTAGTAAAGGCAAGCTATTATTTTTCTCAATTTCAGAAGTAAACTGTATAGATGGTTCTGTACTATTCAAATAGCACGCAAACTCAATTAATGCCTTATTACCATATCTCCACACTAAGAATGTCTCATCTACATATCTTATACAAATATAAGGTTTACATTTGGCAGCATTTATGGCTTTAGTTTCAAATACATCCATATACTAGTCACACAACAACAGTGAAAGTGGCAATCCCATAGCTAACCATTCATTTTGTTTATAAACATTATTGTTAACTTGAAAAAAATGGATCATTCACACATACCTTTGTTAAGTATAACTATACTTTCAACTGCTGGGATTTTATTTTCTAACAATTTATTCTCAAAACACTTGATAACACCTTCTACTGGAACTTTTATAAACAGCTATATTACATCAAACAATACTAACAAATCATCTATACTTAATTTTACAAATTTTAATTTTCTCTACAAATTCTAAAGCATTTTCAACTGTATATTTATTTTTATTTCTCAAAAACGACCACTTTTGAGATTTTTGATATGACGATATACCTATACTCGACACTATTGTTCTAAAACTGTTGTTAATCTCATGTATCTTTGTAAGTGTATAAAATCTTGGAGTAATGAAACTAGCTGGAACTAACCTTTTTTTCTCTACATTTGTTCAAGCAAAACACTTGTTTTTACTAGCTCATGATACTTACTTGTAGAATTATGCTTAAGTTTTTCATACATACCCTTCTCTAATAGGCTTTCAACTCCAATAGTCCCATATATTAAGTATTAAAATTTGTCCTCCTTTATCTGCTTTACAAATAACAATATGTTCATTTTGTTTTAACGATTTTATGGCCTTCATATCAATATTCTGTTTCTTTATTATAGGGTTGAAACTGCCTACAAGTTTATGACATTCAGTTCTAATCATGGTTTTTAATATTATCATCACTCATGTTATCCAAGTCAGATTCTATATCTGTTATCAATTCTTCCTTTTTAGTACTTGATAGCTTATAAGCAAACCCTAAAGATTTATTTAATACATCTAACTGATAATTATTAAGAAGTTATCTGACTAATTAACAATTTTAGGATTCCCCCCTTAAAACTTTTATAAACTTCAGGTAAGTTATTTAATTTAATTTTTTTATCATCTTTCTTTTTATTTATCAAACTTTTATATTTCTGATTTAATTTATACTTATATTTATCAATGTCTCTCATTGTCCGGTTCCAAGTAAAACTTTCCCATTCCATCCAATGTTCTTCAGAATTTTCTTTTCCTGCTTCTAAATGTAGTTGGTATACCTTAATTCCTGCTTGGCTCTAGCACATCTTTTCTTTTCAATGGTAGTGCGTAATATCTGTTGTTTAATTGTTTTCACACAATAGTCCACTTTTTTACTTTTGATATTACATTTCACTTGTATAAATTTTGGAATAACTTACTTTAACATCTCACCAGGAATTGTAGTTGAGATATCCATTTTTTTAGTTTATTCCTTTGTCTTGCAAACTTCTTTGCTATAGGTCCTGTTTCTAGACTCATTAGTATTATTTCTTGGCACTTGTGTATAATGTTAAAATAATAAATAACATACAATGTTAAAATAGGTACACAATTGAAAACATTTTAATTAAGGTCAATATATGACCACTAAAAAGTTGACTCTACATGTTTCGACATTGCAACATCATCTTCAGGAGTGAGTTGAAAGACATAATTGTGTCTTATATATATGCTTTTTTTTTTCTTTGTTAAACAGGTCATATGATCTATGAAAGATTTACAATTCCTGTGTGAACATTTTAGAGAATGTCACCCCACATTTTTGCATAAATATTTTCTGGACCTTCATCTCTATTTAATAATACATGATCTTTTTATATCTAATTATTTCTAAGGATTCTCGATTATCATTGGCTATATTGCCTTTTGGTTGAGCTAATATCATAGATTTTTCCCACAATACTGTATGTTGTGTTTCATGTACATGTTCTGCTATGGCTGAATTTTAAATTATTTATTTCTTACGCATCATCTATGTTCCTTGATACAATATTTTAAATTATGTTTCATTTGTCCAATATAAATATTATATAATACTTATGAAATTGAGAAAAATATTAGCTTGCCTATTCTAGATGTATTATAAAAAAGAAGTTACAAGGTAATCTAGAAACATCTATATTTCGGAAACTTTTTTCTGTTCTTATGCCTCCACACCATAAATCATGTCATACTAGATCACAAAAAATATCTGCATTTTACACTTATGTTCACAGAATTTTGAAGATATGTACTAAACAAGAGCACTTAAAAAATGAGTTATTATTAATGAAATTTGTAGAAGCTGAAAGAGGATTTAATTGTAGATAGAGCTGTCAACAAATTCACTAATGTGGTAATGATTGATCAAAATATCACTTTAAAACCTAGTTATGAAAAAATTGAAAAGGAAACTTTAATTTTGCCATATATTCCAGGTTTAACTAATAATTCATTTAAAGTGTTAAGAAAACAACAAATATTTTATCCTGTATTTAACCTAATTAATAAGATAAAGCAAAATTTAGGTAATACAAAAGATAACATACAGTTAATGGACAAAATCAGAAATCTATAAAACTGAATGTGAATGTAGAAATATTTATATTGTACAAACTAAACATAATTTAAAATATTGTATCAAGGAACATAAAGGATGCGTAAAAAATAAACAAATTTAAGATTCAGCCATAGCAAAGTATGTACATGAAACACAAAATACAGTATTGTGGGAAAAAACTGTAATATTAGCTCAACTGAAAGGCATTATAGCCAACAATATTAATCAAGAATCCTTAGAAATAATTAGATATAAAAAAAGTTCACGTATTATTAAATTAGAGATGAAGGTCCGGCAAATATTTATGTAAAAATGTGGGGTGACCTCCTCTAAAATGTTCACATGGGAATTGTAAACCTTGCATAGGTCATATGACCTATTTAACAAAGAAAAAATAAGGTATATATATAAGACACAATTATGTCTTGCAACTCACTCCCAAAGATGATGTTGCAATGTCGAAACATGTAGAATCAACTTTTTGTAGTGGTCATATATTGACCTTAATTAAAATGTTTTTAATTGTATACTTATTTTAACGTTGTGTGTAGTTTATTATTTTAGTTCATATTGTTGTAATATCTTAGAAATAATCAATTATTGGTGGAGGATACAAATGGTTTGCTGTAGACTCCAGCTGTTTTGATTTCAGAAAACCTCAAAACTTTCATAGTAATTAATAGTCAATCAAATAAAATCATTGGAATTTAATGTATCTTTCTGATAATATAAGGTAGTGTAAAGATATCTGTTTATTAATTTCTGAAATAAATAGAGGGGCATTGGACTCCCTTAGATCTGTGCCTACTTATATAACATTAAATAATACTATTAATTTCTGAAAAAGGAAAGATGGGTGGAAAAGGGTCTGTCTAATGGATCTATGCTTGCTTATATTGTATTGGATAAAATAGTTATTCATGTCTGAAAAAAAAAAAGGCTGGAGGGAAACTTGGCCCTCCTGGACCCCTCCTCCAGATACAACATGAAAAAATATTTACTGATTTGTCAAGAAAAATGTAGGAGTCTGGACCCCTCTCCTACATCCACTCTTGCTTATATAACATTAAAGTATACAGTTCTCCAATTATAAAGTAGAAACAAAACACAATACAAGGAGCAACTTTATTTAATGCTTAAGTAGCCAGAGAGTTGGCAGTGGGTGCTACCAGCCAATTACCTTACCTCTAGTCAGCAGTTCAAAATTAGTAACAGTGACAGATAGCTTTGATACATTTACCACAACAGAGACAGGGCAAGCAAGTTTAGTAGCAATGGAAATTGAACCCAAGACCCTCATATCATGAGACACCCCCTGCATTATGTAGCTTTTTGCTTAACAGCAAACAATGAAAATATTTTGATTACTTGAATAGTTGGCATAATCAGAAACCCTAATTTAAATTAGTTATTTTCATGACATTTATCAGTTAGGGTACAAAACACTATTCGATGTAACTGCTTCTCATAAGTAACTGATTGTATTAGTTAATCAATTAAATTTCCTAGTTCTCACTTTTCTATGGTCTTTACTTTAACTTTATAATTTCATTCTCTTTTCTGCAGTCTTTGACTCTACAGTCCTCACCACTGGGTTTTTTCCAATATAATTATTTATTTCAACAGATGTGAACCTTCTAATGTCTCGGTATATTATAATACCTAATACAACAGCTGGCCCAAAACAAATTTGGATAGAAAATAAGCTCTGAAGCTATCATTGTTATATGGCTTGTTTTCATATAAAAGAACTGAACTGATTTTTTACTGGTAGCATAGTGTGTTTTACAACATAAATGTATATGTTTAACTAGTACTGTCTGTATCATGTTTTACATACAAGGTAATATGATCAAACAAGTACAGTTTCCCTCAGTATGCAGTTGGTGGCTTTTATGAGTTTCTATAAATTTTAAATTTTTATTAAGACTTTACTCAGTGAAAACTATATATTTTTGATCAGTGTGTATGAATAGTTTGTGAGGAGATATTTGTACTTACCAGATATTCCTTCTAACAAAGAGACAAGTTGAAACTCTTCTTGAAATTTGTTCTCTTTTTTCACACTCATAATATGATCCTTTAAACTATTCATGTCATCATCACTCTCACTGAACTTGGAAATTATGCTATCTTGTTGTGAGTCACCATGTTTCTCAGGGGTCACTCTGGCAAATGTGTTCTGAAAAAAAACATTAAAAAGATTAGTAACAAAGAAAGTCTAATGCTTACAAATAATTCAACAAATACACAAATATTGTAATATTCCTCATAGATGAGAGAAAAAGTGGAAACCAATTTTTGAAGCTTTAATGCAAGCCCCCCCCAAAAAACAAAAAAAAACAAACAAACTGGAAGTCATTTCCTGCATTCTGGGTCATTTTCAGAATATATTTGAAACATTCTAAGAAGTTGATGAAAGGCTAACATCATATGGACTTTCAACTAGATATGAACTTAAAACTGCTCTTACCTTTCCAAACTTCTAAGATGAATGACTTTTTTAAATACAAATTATAGTCTTATACGTCCATCAAGAAAAAAATGATTGTTTTCAGATTTTTTTATCTTAACTTCTTCACAAGTTGTTCTTTTTCTTATCACATTGTGGAGGTGCTCCTTCAGTTTAGATACAGGAATGAATTACTTAATACAATCCAAAGATTAAATGAAAAAGTATTGAGAATATGCTTAGAGCAACAAGAGAGCTAGTTGGACCAGTGGAATAAAGGAATTACTTAATAGGATCCAAGGATTAAATGAAAGATCATCATGGATATACTTAGAGCAACAAGAGAGCTAGTTGGACCAGTGGAATAAAGGAATTACTTAATAGGATCCAAGGATTAAATGAAAGATCATCATGGATATACTTAGAGCAACAAGAAAGCTAGTTGGACCAGTGGAATAAAGGAATTACTTAATAGGATCCAAGGATTAAATTTAAGTATATCCATGATGATCTTTCATTTAATCCTTGGATCCTATTAAGTAATTCCTTTATTCCACTGGTCCAACTAGCTCTCTTGTTGCTCTAAGTATATCCATGATGATCTTTCAGTAATAAGAGAGCTAGTTTGACTTGTGGAATAGTTTTCAGAAAAAGGGTTAATTATACAGTAGAAATGAGCTCCACTTAAGCAGGCTAGGTAATAGGATGGGCATTGCCACAAATTTTGTATTGCAATATATTATGATATTTGTAACTGTATTACAATATACTGCATAAAACATTCACTTATCAAGGTCATTTTGCCTACTCATTGGTCAAATAAGCATTGTTTAGTTGATGTTGCAGTACTGTGCACCATTGGCAGATTAAATTACATATGCCACCAACTTATGTACAGCTTGATTCAATCATAAAGCACCATACAAAAAGAACTACCATTGTAATATAATGCTTAGTGTGTTAGGGCATCAATGGTTGCAGTAACAGTTGTATTTATCAGCAATATTTCGATAACTTTGCATCAATGTTATGATAGGCAGGTTGAAAGCATTTCAGTTTTCAATATGTCTAGACACTACTTGGGAAACTTAAACTATAGCCTAATATAGGGATCATCTAAATATATAGTGTCAAAAGTCAAATAAATATACCCCAAAATAAGATTGTTTCAAGTTTATCTCACATGTCGTTTACACTGCTTCATTTAATCTGTAATGTTCATGGCTAAAGTTTTCATAATTGTTGAGGCTATGAATAGAAGTTCATGGGACACAGGAACTTCAAAGTAAATAAATTGACAGTAAGGGAAAACGGTGATAAAATGACTTGTGAGTTTTCCTTAAATTGACAAGAAAGTATACAGCTACACATCTCAAATGTTAAAATATTTTTAAACTGAAAATGTATTTCCAATAGAAACTTACCTCCTCTCACAAAAAGTTTTCTTGACTTATACTGCCCTCTATTAGCTCAAATTTTTGCTTGCCACTAGCCTTAATACTCTCACTTACCATTACGTATGTTAATCTGAGATATCTGCAGCAACTCTCCACCAATTGGAGTGTGATGCTACCCCTATCGTAACCACTACCCTCTCTAATCTTGCAGCTGTTAACCACTTCAAGATTAGTCAGATCATACCAAACCACACCAGAAGTGGGGAGGACAGGTGGGAAATGTGAGAGGAGGTACGTATCTATCAGAAATACAGTTGCAGTTTGATATCTTGCTTCCTCTCACAAAAAAAGCTAGAATCACACATAAAACAGGTGAAGGGCCAGTGAGAAGATGATCCCCCTTCAGGAAGCACCCCAAACGAATAAACCATAGGGTGTGAGAAAAAAACTAAAAACAAAACACCTATGGGAGACCATACCACTTTTGAACCAGGTATACTCTTTGCCCACTAGTAATGTGTTGCCAAAAGGGTGGAGACAAATGAGAAACCATAAGAAAAATCACATAAATAATGGGACCCCTCAGTGTAGTGTGGCTAGGGTGCAAGAGACCGTGTAAAGGAGGGTTTGATCTCAACCAAGTACTGGTGGAATCTGGAATTGTATGTCAGTTCCTCAAGAATGGGTACTGGCAGGAAAGAGGAGCTTCTGTACGAAGAATCCATTTCCACAGGCAAGCATCTCCAATACAACCAACACCAGGTCCATCAGGAATCGACAGCCGCCGGATTGTAGGAAGGTGGAGGACCTAGGTGAGTATTCATCTCCAGTCCAAAACCTGTCAGCACTGGGAATTCACCATCCAGTCCACGGAAGGAAACCATCCAAACACGTGAGGTCTTATGTGGTTGGTCTGACTTCTACCAACACCCGATCCTCAGGAACTGATATCCGGCGGACAGTAGGAAGGGGGGTGCCTCAATCGGAGGGACAAACTGCAATTTATATATATAAATTCAAAACTCTATTTAAAAAAAAAACAAAAAACTTTGCACTTTCCAGTCATTATCCAAAAGTCATAATGGAGATTGCCTGTGGTAATAGCACCCAAAAGCGTTGGGGATGTCCCATCTATCAGACAAAATCCAAAAAGCAGATGAGAAACCAGTCAGCAATTGTGGAAAATTCACCCACAGCCAGTTACCCTTAAAAAGATGTAATAAAGTTAAAAGTAGAAATAAGATAAAATCAAGCCACTAAAAGAAATATATATATATATATATATTTCTATTAAACAATGCTTACTATCCTCCTCTAAAAATGCTTAAAGTAGAATAAATACCACCCTAATAATTCTACTACATGTTACTCCCAAACTCCACCCTTTTTTAAAAATGACTTTTCAAAAAATAGCACGGGATAGCTGAGACAAGCCCAGCTACTTGAAGTTAGTCTTTCCAGTCCCTAGCTAACTACCTCTAGTGACAAAAAAAGTTTTTTCTTCATTGAATATTTATCTAATAAAATATTTTGAAATTTATTATAAAAATATGCAAAAAACTTGTTTATTTGTCAGTATTTAGATCCATTATTTTCTCATTTAGTTATGAACAATATAACATTATCCATAAAAAATGTGCTGTTATTACAAATGGTTAAAAATTTTTTTAATTGAAATGTAATGACACCTTTCAGCATCATACGAGGAACTACACTATTAGGGGTGGGCAGACCAAGGATGGGAAAATTAAATGCTCTTCTCTTATCAAAAATATTTAGTTGTGGTTTACCATTTACTAATTTGATATCCAAAAAAACAAATATAAATTGGCCATATTTGAAGAAAAGTTAGCTCCCATTGGAATCCCCACAGTTTGTTTATATAACTGTTCATTAAAAGTAATATAACTATTATACACACAGAAATGAAGAATGTTTTTACATTGAATTTTAGTAAATTTATACTTATGAATATTTATTTCTGTGTCTATAAAATCATCGATCAGCTAATTAAACACTTTTATCAAATCCTTTAAGTCTGTTTTAGTATATAAAGTAGAAAAATCATAAGTGGAAACAAAACTGGCTGTATTTGAAACATTTAAATTATTTAAGCATTCCAAAACTGGAATGTTGTTCTTAATATTCCAACAGTATTCATTTGTATTATTTAAACATAGTGTTTTTATTTTTTCATACACAACATCCAGAATATTATTAAGAACAATTGAAACAGATTTAATAACTGTGTTTAAAGGATTTGTTATAAATCTGAATTTAATGGAATTTTTATGCAATTTAGGAAATGCATATAAAAATGGCAGATGAGAAGAAGGAGAGTCTACATGTACATTCCATTTTTTTATGGCCTTTATATTAGTAATAATATTGTTTTATTTAAAGCACTTTTGCTAAATGTACTTGTGCTGTTAATTTCTTTAACTAGAATTTGAGCATACAGTTTTTTACAAATAAAACCCGAAGTTGCAACCTGCCTTATCAATAGGGGTGATAATAAATTGTTCTTGCACCTTCTGTATTTTATTTTTGGAAACATGAAAAGTATCAATTATATATGGAGCAAGGTTTAAATTTCTTAAATGATATTTAATGTAATTCATGAAATACAGTTTCCATTCAAAAAGAGAAACATGGAGGATAGTAGGTTTTTTTTACTTATTTTTATAATATAATTATCAATATTTTTCCAGATCTTTCAATATTTCACATTTTTTTAGTTTTTTTTAATTCTAAATTAAATTCCTTTTTTTTTCAATATTGTTTGCAATTCTTTATCTTTAATGATTTCTAAATTACCTGTAACTATACGTTTATGAAAAGGATCCTAGAATTCTACATCAGGTCTGCAGAAGGACGAGTATCAAACACTATGGATCATCAGAGATGGGCAGTGATCCCTGTCTGCTTAACTCATGTTAGTTCCACGAGTGTAAGGTCTGGGATGAACATGTTCATGAAGCAAAAGACTATGAGGTATACCTACAAGCAGTCCTGCAGAACACCCATCTCAACAGTGGGTGTAATATGACCCGAATATTTGGAAAGCATAGAGAACACATTAACAGCGTCGATCAACCAACACCTGATGGCATCTGCAATTGTACATCAGGTCCACAGTAGGAAGAGCCTCAATGTCACAGTTATTTAGCATGGTATATGATC